GTCCCACTATTACTTACCTACCTACCTAGGTCCTAAGCAACAACACCACACCACACCACACCACACCTATCGACCTACCTACCTACCTAACAGGTATGACTCCCAAACGCCTTTAGTCTACCTACCTACCTAGCTACTATACCTACCCGTCTAACCTCCTCTTTCAAAATCTTGCAACAAAAAACAAAAAAAAAAAAAAAAAAAAAAAAAACCCCTTACTGCCCCGGCCGCCGATAGCAGGTTCGCCACCATGCGCGTATGAGGATTTGCATGCAGCATTTGGCGACTACGTCGTAAAACCCCCCCTTTGCAAGAGCTCAAGCGCTTCATACGTAGTACGTAGTACTTAGGAGTAGTACGTAGGAGTAGGTGCTTTTCTACTACTAAATTGGATAGCGGAGTCGGAGTCGGAGTCGGAGGTTTCTGGCTGTGGAGGGAGGGAAGACCCGGGCACGCGTGGACTGGATGGACGTCCGGACGCGGTGGAGCAGAGCAGGGCAGGGCAGGGCAGCTACTAGTAAGTACGTAGTAGCTCCGGATAGGTAAGGTAAGGTAGGTAGGTAGGTAAGGTAGGTACTATGAATCGCCCGATGCTGGACTGTACTGTACTGTACTGTAGCGGTCCGGTATCTCAGGACGAACACGACCACCGAGTGATACGTACAGCCAGTCGAGCTCAGACTACTACTTACTACCTACGAGTTGTTACTTCTACTTCTACTTCTACTTCTACTACTACTACTACTACTACTACTACTACTACTACTACTACCTATAAACCCCCCCCTCCACCGCCGTCGCCATGTCGCCGTCAACACCCAACCCTCTCCCACCCTACATCTACAAGATCCTGCCCTCGTCCGCCGCCCCGCCGCACCCGCTCCCCGTCTCCCTGCCCCTCGCGGCCCTCGAGTCGACGCGCAGGACGGGTTCCTGCACTTGAGCACCGCACCGCGCCGCAGCTCCTCGGCACGCTCCGGCACTTCTTCCCGTCCGAGCGGCACGTCTACTACTACGTACGTCCTGCGCATCCCGTACGCGCGCGTCGCCGACCTCGTCGTCTGGGAGGACGCCGAGGGGCGGGCACCGGCTGGGGACGAGGGGCCCACGGGCTTCTTCCCGCACGTGTATGCGAATGCGGGGCCGGGGGAGGGGGAGGGGGGAGGGGGGAGGGGGGAGGGGGGAACGGGGCTTGAAGCTGGGGAGGGAAAGGAGGTGGAGAGTGGGGGCCTGTGGGAAAGGGGCGGTGGGAATTGGACTACGCATGCTTGGCCGTTTGGAGAGGACGCGCCCAGGGAGTGAAGTGGGGTCACGCGGGTGAGGTCACGTGGTTTGAAGTCACGTGACCCAATGGTGCTGCCCTCCTCCCTCTCTCGTCAAGCATCGCATGCTTCGATAGAGCTCTTGGGTCCTGGCTGGGAATTAGTGCTTGGTTCGGGATGAGGCCATGTCTGATATCACAATCATTTTTTCTCTCAGACACGCTTTGAAGCCGCGAGAGATGGGGTGGGATGTCTTGTAGGACGCTAGAGCCCGCCGGCCCCTGCTTGCTTGATATTTCTTTCTCTCGGTCCTGTTTGCTCTCGTAATTCAAGTTCGGACTTCATGCTTCGAATACGTCATCGAAACGCTGAACTCGATCTAGCAGCCTGACCAAGACCTGCTCCTCGCATACCAGTACTTCGTCAAGGGCAACGGTCTCCGATCATGCCATGGTCGCCCAAACATTCCGCCCGGACTCTGATGAAGACATGTAATCTTTCGGCTTCATTCCTCGTCGTTTCTTCTCCCACCCACGTGTGCGTTTCTTTCTCCCACCGAGATCACAACTCTCAGCCGACGGGCGTCCTTTCCCAAGAGAATCTTCTCGGATCAGGCTCTTGTAGCCGGCTCGTAGCCGGCTCAGCACTCAGCTCTCCCGCACTCCTCTCATGATCCATCTCATACATTCTCTCCGAGGACAACTCGTGCGGCGAGCCCACCTTGTCCGTCCTCTCTGCCTCCATCGGCACCATTTTCAAGGGCACAGACTGTGGTCCAGACACCCCGCTCCCAGGATCCGACTTCGCACTCTCGTTATCCACCGCCAGCAGCCGTCCCGTCGCGCGAGTCTTCGCTCCTCTCCTTCTTCGCAACAGCAGCCAGACCGCAAGTATCGCGGCAGCGACCAACAGCAACACACCAAGCGCAACTCCAACCCCGATGCCTATCTTCGCACCCGTACCCGTCCCGCCATTATCCTCCACCGTCACGACGTTCGTCGGAGCCGTCGTCGGCGCCGTCGTAGTATTCTGCCCCAGACCGACCAGGATCGGCGTCGGGCGCGCCTCGGAAAGGATGCGGATGTAGTGGCTGTTCGAACCGTTCCCTGCATTCTTGACCGGCCGCAGGTTGAAATAGCACGATACGACATCGGTCCAGCTGAGGAGCACCAGCGCCGATCCGTTCCTCGCCGGAACGTGCTGCGTAAGTTCTGGAGGTCACGTTGGTCAGCCAATGACGACTCCACGGGGGGGGGTAAGGTTAGGTAGGTAGGTAGGTAGGTAGGTAGGTAGGTAGGTAATCTACTTGTGAATATTTTCTGGCTATTGAACTTCATGCAGAACGTAACCAGGAGCGGCTTCGCAAACGGCGACGTGTAGGACACGTTGACGGTATCCATATTGACGGTATCCATATAATTGAGCGTCAGCCCCCCCCCCGCCGGAGGGTACAGGAACTCAACCTCTCCCTTACTCCCTGCTGCCAGAACCCGCGGTGCGCAAAGGAGGAGGAGGAAGCGAAGATCGAGCGAAGCGAGCGAAGCGAGCAGTGAAGCGCGTAGTGAAGCGAGCAGTGAACCGCATAGTGAACCGCATAGTGAACCGCACAGTGAACCGCACAGTGAACCGCGAGACATGTACATGACGACTATAGTCCCAGGGTTAAACAACCGCGACGACGAAAAGCATTCTTTGAGTTCGGGCGTGGGAGAACAAACTAGAAAAGAAGAGAAGAGGAAAAAGAAGAAGAAGAAGAGGAAGAGGAAAAGGGGAGACGGGGGATTGGGGATTGGGGCGGGTGAGTGAGTGGGGTTCCTGGACAGCCTCGCCTCGCCTCGGGGGGGGAGAGAGGGGGGGGGTTTTCCTGTTACACTACGCTACGCTACCACCCCCTTTCCGGTCGCGAAGCGAAGCGAAGCGAGAGTGGAAGAGGGCGGGGCGGTTGGTGGTGGTGGTGGTGCTGGAAGTGGTGGGCGGCGCTGAGTAAGCCCTGCTTGTACGGTACCGGTAGCACGGGGAGGAGTCGGGACTTGGGACTGGGGCGAATGAGAAGAGAAGATGAAGAGAAGATGGAGAGCGGGTGGAATCCTTGACGGTGCGAAAAAAGAAGAAAAGAAAGGAAAAATATGGGAAATATGGGAAATATATATATTTATGTGTGTGTGTGGATGTATGTGTTTGCGCGCCTTATTTGCACGCCTTCTTGGGAAGCTGGGAAGCTGGGAAGCTCAGAGAGAGAGAGAGAGAGAGAGAGAGAGAGACGC